TGTAGAGTTTCTCCTCCATGCCATCGATTTGAGGAGGGTCAAATTAGGTTGCGGTTTGGGTTTGAGTTTGTATTGAAATTAAGCATACACAAAATTGACTTAACTGAGCATGACCCAATTTCTACCTCGAGTTACTTGAGATTAAAATGAAGACAACCGTAGTACGGGATGAAGACTTCAAGTTCTACTTCACAGGATCTTGCTCGGCTTTTATTTGATGTCTTCAAATCCAGGTTGAACATGGTTTTCAACCATGTTCCATGATTTTCAACCATGTTTCAACTCGAGGAGAGTTAGAAGGTATATTAAGAAAAATTTATTTCTGTTAGAAGTTATCAATATTAGATTTATTTCCTAATATAACTTTATTTATTTTTCTATTTTAGGTTTTCTCATTTTACGTTGATCATTTGTGTACTTAGTTGAGGTCAATTTTATATAATTGAGAGACTACAATGGGGATAAATTTTTATCATAATTTTTATATGAGAGCCATTTTGGATTAATTTTGTATATTCAAGAGACTAAATTGGAGAAACTTGATATCTTGAGACACAGATAGTCAGGGATTATTTTTAGAATATTTTATTTAGTTAAATTTTAAGTTTCATAAATGTAACCCATCATGTTGTAGTTTATATGTATATACTTATGTGTGTGTGTGTATATATATATATATATATATATATATATATATATTAATATTTATTTAATAAAAAATCGCTTTAATGCTTTAGACAATTATTTTTATAATTATATACTTGTTGTAAGTTTAAGAGTTAAAGGAAGGGAAATGGGAAAATGAAAAATGATTGGTCAATGTCTTTAAATGGAGGTAATCAAATGATGTAATATCTTATTTCTATTGAATGAGTGAATAGAATTCAGTTATATAATATCTTATTTCTACTTTTGTCTTGTCTAATTATAATTTTGAAGTTGTTATCAGGGCTGTTAACGTTCTATTTCTTTTGAGATTGAAAGGCCCTTCAATGTAGAGTTTCTCCTCCATGCCATTGATTTGAGGAGGGTCAAATTAGGTTGCGGTTTGGGTTTGAGTTTGTATTGAAATTAACCATACACAAAATTGACACCCAATTTCTACCTTTCTGAATTGAACTCGACTCACTTAATCTGTTTAACATAAGGCATAACAACTTTATGGATCAAATTTGGGTAAAGTTTAATTCAATGTTGAGTTGGCAGGTTAATTTTTAGTTGGTGGTTTTGGGTCAATTTTAGGTTCACGGGTTAACTTGAACCCAATTCAAAAAATTAAATGGGTTTGGATTCTAGACCGAACATGCTTAAAAATTAATTGGGTCGACTCAAATCTGAGTATTTGAGTCGGTTCATGTTGGATTGATGTGTCAGACCAAGTTTAGACAGCTCTAATCGGGACCTTTAGTAACACACTAAAAGTTAATCTTCTTCCATCAAAGTGGTGAAATTATATATGAATGATTTTCTTGGATTGAAGGCGCTACAGAGAAGATGGGGATTACTGCCACAGAGAAGTTATTGATTAAGAAGCTAGCAATTAGTTGGAAATCAACTTATAAAATGGAAAATCTTGATCCAAAACATATAAAATCAATGATGAAATATTTGTTGAAAGTTCCTAAAGTGAACCAACAACAAAGTTGCAATAAATCATTCCTCCCGGTTTCAGCCATTTTGATAACAATCTATTGGTAAAAGCTTATTTTTGAACATCATTGATATAAAATTTGGTTGCTCAAAAAAGTAAGTTGTCAAATGCCATTTGCAAACAAGAAAACTGCTACTTAGATGGTAGATTCATGAGCTTCAGATCATATGTAAGAGATGATAATGCCTTTCACAATTACATCACATGCTATGAAAATTATGTCCAGTTTGCATATGGGTCATTTTCAAAAGTGTTTTGGAATAGGTTCTATAATTCTCTCAAGAAATCTGACACCCATCTCTATGCTTATATTGCTTCACCTAGATTTTAATTTATTATCAATTAGTAAACTATAGACAAGAACTGTGTTGTTAATTTTTCATCTAATTTTCATAAAGGTTGCATGAACTTGGGAGGATGATTGGTAGTGTAGATATTTTTCTAAGACCTATACCCTTTAAAGATTGATTATTCAAGTAAGGTATGAGCTTAAACAACTAATCGTGTACCCACCAAAATCACAACTTCAAATTCTAAACACACTTTAAATAATGGCATTAATGTTTAGCTTTGACACTATCTCCTAAGATACCCAAAATTTAGTTACTTTGAAGAATTAATTGCTTTGTGTTCACCAATAAAATTTCAAAGAACTTTCAATTGCCATCTAACTAAACACGCTCACTTCATATTACTATGAAATCTACAAATCTTCCCAACCTTTTGTTTTAGCCTATAGTGATGTGTGGGACTGAAGGAAGCGAGGAGGATTGGTTCTTGAAGAAACCAAGAGAGAGGGAATATCATCAATTTGCTGTTTCCCTAGGAGTAACGGAGAGACATCAAGAAGCGTGCACAATAGGTGAGGGGCTGGGATGTAATGAAGAATATAGTATAATAAAGAGATCTTGGTGGGTAGAGGGAACAAATGAGAGAGGCTAATTAAAAGAGGAGAGAAAATGTTAGTTCATGTGCAATTCATTGATTGATAATTCAAATGCTATCATTAAAATCACTATTTATAAAAGTTGGGTCATGTTTGAAATCAAATTAATTTAAAGTTTATGATAAAACCTATTAAGTGCGTTGATTCAGCATTTTTCCTTATAATCCATATCATAGTGATAACTCTTCATTGGATTGATTCTTTTGCTAACCTGTAACTTTTCTATCCTCTCTTTTTTGGCACTAACACCTCTTTTGCCTTAGAGCCCATCAAACTTCTGATACTGTCGCCTGTTTGCTTTGGTGTTTTTCTAATGGTTTTCTTTCAGTAGCCATCTCTCATTTCAATTTCCTCTTATAGGTATCGAGACTCTTTTAACTGGTGGTAAATCTAGGGTTTTTCTTTTTAATGCGGGAATTGATTTGTTTGCTAAACCTTTCTGTTTCCTCTTGATCTCTTACCTTATGGTTTTTGGATCCTAGAAATGTGTTGCCTTGCTTGCATAACGAAAAAATGATTGATACCGGAGTTAACCCAAGCCATAATAGGAATAAAAAATATTATTACTAAAAGTAAAAGCAAATAGACGGTTCAGTGTGGTTCAGTGCGGTTCGGTGCGAGGGTTTTTTGGGCCAATCAGAACTGGACGTCAGGCTAGTTCACAGTCCAGTCGGCCGGTCTGGCCTGATTTTCTAAACGTTGCTTATAAGTTTATAAATGATATTGCTCTGGTCTCCTGACTGAGGATGTCGTTCCCTTAAACTCTAAGGAAAAACATGACTGATGAAACTTCTAAAGACATAATTAAAAGTGTGATTGAGTTTGCTTTTTGGCTGTCATTTCACCTTTATAATTTTCTGTTGGTTCCGACTCTGTGTATCGACTTCTGATCTTACTTATGTGCCATGATCCTAGCAGTTCCTAATTGTGTATCAGCATGAGTTGTCTCATTTGAAATCTGCGGGTAATGAACTCTTACCTCGTCGTTTATTTCCATACTCTTCCTTGAAGGTTCCGGGCCTTTCTCTGACTGTTCTTCTCTACTTAATAATGAATTTATAGTTAAATTTAAGAAGAAACTGTAGAAGCATGCTGTGGCCTGCCTTGGTTCTTGTACGACCAGTCTGGTTAAGAAGTTAAAAGTTCTGTGCAGTTCTGAATATTGTTGAACAACTCCTATGAATGCTTTGGCTGGACAGTCATGATGAGGAGGTGATAACTATTATAAAGGCTAGCCACTTTTTTTTTAAGTTTCAAAATTTTATTACCAATCAGTGAACTACTACATAAAAAAATAATTAATATCCATCAAAATTGAGAGTAGCTGGTCCTCGTTCAAATTCTAACTCAATATAGGATACCCAACTCATGGGGAGAAATATGGGCCCATGGCAGTGGCAGATTTGGGGCAACGGAGGAATACTTTTTTTTTTAAATTTCCAATCGTAGCTAAAGCATTTTGTTCATTAATCCGCAGATTTGGGGCAACGGAGGAATACTTTTTTTTTTAGATTTCCAATCGTTAGGAGAACACAAGCTAAAGCATTTTGTTCATTAATCCGGACAAGCTAATAATAGACTCTTGAGATTGCACAGAGCAACACAAGCTGATACATATATATATATATCCATACAGAAGAACTGAAATCTAGTGCTTAGGTAGCAATCATTCTGTCTCTCTGTTCTCAAGTACAACACTTTTTTCTTGTCTTTCTGTCGCATTCAGATAAACTTGTCGAGTTCTTCCCAACATTCATATAATTAGCTCCTGTTCAATACTAAATTCCAATTTCTTTAAATAGATATCATCTTGTTCCGTGTTTTATTGAGTGGAGCGCCAAAATATTCCCCAGATTATTTATATGGGATCATTTTAGTCCTAAAGTTTAAAAAAGCACTAAATTAGTTCTCATACTCTTTTAATATTGAGCTAAAATAGTCCTATTTTTGCCCCTCATTAAAAGAGTTTGGGGACTAAATGGACACTGTACTCTTTTAATATTGAGCTAAAATAGTCCTATTTTTTGCCCCTCATTAAAATAGTCCTCTTTTAAAAGCTATTCACACACAAATCACTCAAATCTTTAATATGAAAAATTATTCCATCAGGACACCAGACTTAAAATTTGCATCCGGAGTCCAGTGGACACTTGCCACATGGCGAGTGGGCTCCATCCCTCTATAATACCTATTCAATCAATGTATTACAGTGGGACCCACTTGTCACGTGGCAAGTGCTCACTATACCGTGCGTCCGGTGCCCTGATGGAATAATCTCTCTACAATTTTATAGCCGGGGACTATAATGGACCCCCACAAAAAGTCAAGAGGATCTTTTTTTGTCTCTTTTCTTGAGCATTATCTATGTCCTTACCATCTGTCTGTCCATTTGCATCTTTACAGAGAGCTCACGGTATAACCGTTGCAGGGGAGCAAATAGTTTCTTAAGAACAGAGATAATCTAAGCCAAGCAGTACGCTGTTGAAGATTACATTACATCTGGAGTTATAGTATTTATCTCACTAACCTTTCACATCAGAGAAACTTGTAAATGGGAAGCATTAAAAAAGGAAAAAAAAAACAAAAAAAAAATTGTAAATGGGAAGCATTAAAAAAGGAAAAAAAAAAAAACAAAAAAAAAAATTTGAAAGTTGAAAGGTCAAGGTGGGGATCTATTGTATTTATCCAATGTGCATAGAAAGATGTCACTCTCTCCAAATGTTTTGGAGAAGCGGCGGCGGTAATGTAAATATTATTGTTATTATTATATTTTTTTAGTATATAGAAGCTTTTATGAAGGATTAGAAGAAGAAAAAGGATGGGGGCATTTGCAGACATACCACATAATTTTTATATATTTACATATCTAACACTTAAACTTTATGTTTAGATGCATAATAAATATCACTCTTGATAATTTTTTGAAAGTGAAATTTACTTTATGCAAATATTTATAACATCAAAGTGTTATAAATGTAAATATCGAATTTTAGGTGTTGGATATATTATTACATGAGAATTGTCTGGAATCTAATGTGATTTTGTTAGAAAGATTGGATTTTTTTTCTGCATCTTTTTCGTAGATTCTGATTCATTTAGAATCTCTAAATAAAGTTTCAGAAACTGAGCTCAGTAAAGTGCTGAAATAAAAAATTATGATTCGAAATTCCTAAATTGAAATTGAATATGAATCTGATTGGGGGTGTTTGTTTGACGAAAAATTATTCCATACGGACACTGCATGGTGTCTGATCTCCACCGTCGATCCTCGCAAAGATGTATTTTAATGGGCCCTAATTTTAGCTTTTATTTATTTTTTTTAAATTTTTATTGCGGTGATCGACGGCGGAGATCGGACACCTGTATTCTATTGTTTTTTTGTATTTTTATTAGGGGGGTTTCATACGAACACTACAACTCTTATATATTTACAAATCTAACATCTACAGTTTACTCTTTGTATTTGTATCACTTGATTTTTTTTTTAATATCACATTAATAATAATATTATTTTACACACTTTCATGTATTGGTAAGATGTTATACATGTAAAAATTAAAATTACTACAACTCTTATATATTTACAAATCTAACATCTAAAGTTTACTCTTTGTATTTGTACCACTTGATTTTTTTTAATATCACATTAATAATATTATTATTTTACACACTTTCATGTATTGGTAAGGTGTCATATATGTAAAAAATTAAAATATAGGAGTTAGATATGTAAATGCGAGAATAAAGTGGTTTGCATGTAAAAGCTCCAAATCGTTATCCTGCATTGATTTTAAATATAATCAAATAATTTTGAATATTTAAAATGAAATACATTTATTTTACATGAAACACAATGCAATTATGAATATTTGCAACAAAAAGCCCCAGTTTGAAGGAAAAATATTACATCAGGACTCCTAACGTAAAAATACATTCATAGTCCACTGATATGAGGATACGTGGCTTCAAGGAAACACACGCGTTTTCCTGTGATTCGGCCCGTTAACACAGGAGAATATTCATTTTCACGCTATTCATGTGTTATTGTGGTGGTATCGATGCGTTATGTTATTATAACACCGAGAATATTCCCAAAACATAATAACACATTAATATCACCACAATAACACTTAAATAATGCTGAATAACACGGGGAAAATATTCCTCTGCGCTAAAACGATTTTTTTTTTAATTTTTCTGTCACCTCCACGTGTCCGCATATCAGTGGACTCTGAATATAACTCTACATTAAGAGTTCTGATGTAATATTTTTCCCAGTTAAAAAAAGATTATTTTGATTTTTGAGTCCGACTGAAATTATTATACATATTTGTTAAATACAGGGCACCTCTCGTTATTTCGAAGTTTATGAATCCCTTAAAATCATTAAAAACCCTCAAAAATTTATTTTATGAAATCATTGATGAGACAGAGCACAGAGCTTCTGACCATAATACTAAAATGAGCATTGGATTTGTAGAGTTGAAAAAATTAAGAATGGTTTACATACATATCTCTCTCTTCTTATGCATTTACATATCTAGCACCTAAACCTATGCATGAAGTGATATTTTTCTAGTGATACTAAAGATTTGGATGATATAAGTGTTAGATATAAATAGATTAGAACTGATTGGCATCTTTATAAATGCTTCAATAATTAAACTTTAGCGATTAAAGACACCTAAAAAGTTCAATTTGAATAATTGAATTGTCTAAGAAAGTTGTTAGAGCTTTTATGTCACTTAAGTCACTATCACATATGTTTTCAACATTCCCATCATAAAACTATCATCACATGGGAATACATCATCTATTTACTAATAAGAAAGATTCACATACATACCAGTCAATTCCTATATATCTTACATATATGACCCCAAAAACTTCAATTTTTGCATGCATATCACCTTACATATGCATGAAAATGCATGTTTGGCTTTTTAAGAGTTAACATGGTGATATGTTTGAAGTGATATGAAAAATTTGGGTGGCATAAATATGAAAAAGCAAAGTTTAGGTGCTGATATGTAAACACATAGGAATTGCATGGCTTAAAATTACAGGTCACAAACCATTTTGGCCAATTGTAGCCATGTGGTTCACAAGTACAAATCACTACCACCTCCCTATACAAAGAAATAATTTCTGTAATATCTTCCCACAAAAGATATGTAAACACATAGGAATTGCATGGCTTAAAATATCAGGTCACAAACCATTTTGGCCAACTGTAGCCATGTGGTTCACAAGTATAAATCACTACCACCTCCCTGTACAAAGAAACAATTTCTGTAATATCTTCCCACAAAATTTGGAATATAAGTAATAAACAGTTTGAAATTAAAAAAAAAAAGGATTTTCACAGTATATAATGGCCCAGAACCCAGAGTTTCAGACTGTTTATCTACAGTACTAACCCTTCGTTCTCCCTACAAGTGCCAAGATAATCTACTTGGGTTCCCATGGAAACCATTATCAATCAACTCAAACAGAAGAGCATGTTGCTATGAATGTTTGATGCTTAACTGTTGCATGAGCCTGAGTTAATGTTACCTGGTTGGGATCCCTCCAAAGCTAACCATCAGTTTATTTTACAGAATTCTAACTCTGTTGATGCATCAATAAATATTCTTCTGCCAGCCATATAAATGGTGAAATCAGTTACTGGTTGATATCTAACTTTTTCTTTTATCTGTGTATATTCCTAATCTAAGTGTTAAATACTTTAAGTAGAATGAGGCTGAAGTCTAAAACATCGAGGTGCTTTTGGGTGTAGAGGTTATAATTTCATCAGAAACTCCAACCAAAGTTAAGTGTGCTCGTGCGGGAGCACTTTTGGGATGGGTGACCTTATAAAATGTTACACCAATAGGACAAAATCGTGAGGCATTAGGCCAAAGCGGACAATATCTCGATGGGTGAGAGTTCAAGCTGTTACACCAAGTTTCTCCATGCAGCTCTGGTCATTTCCCCACCAAGCCAAAATCATCTCTTCAGTCAAATTATCCAGAATCTCGAATATCCACTCCGACCATGGGTGCAAATTGTCACCAGCAATAAAAGAATGCATCTCACTGTTCACTTCAATCCAGCTACAACCAGGTTCTTTCTTCATCGTACTCCTCCTCATCAACTTTCTCATCTCTGAAACTCCATCCCATCTCCCAACCTCTGCATATATGTTAGATAACAGAATACATGCTGATGAATCATCAGGCTCCAACAACAGTATTTTCTTCAAAGCTAGCTCTCCTATCTCCAAGTTTCTGTGGACCTTACAAGCGCTTAATAGAGCCCTCCATATGACTGCATCAGCTTCATATGCCATACCATTGATAACATCCAATGCCTCATGCACGCCTTTGGAACGCCCCAACAGGTCCACCATACAAGAGTAGTGCTCCAGCTCTGGTTCTAAATTGTAGAGCTCATTCATGGATTCAAAGTGGCGAAGGCCTTCATCAACCAATCCCACATGCCCGCAAGCCCTAAGAACTGCAATGAAAGTTGCATGGTTGGGTGCAATGTTCTCCATTTTCATCCTCTCGAACATGCTGAGTGCCTCGAATCCAAATCCATGATTTGCATAACCAGATATTATGGCATTCCATGAGACGAAGTCTCTTTCTGGCGTCTTTTCGAAGATGAGGAGAGAGTCCTGCATGTTCCCACATTTGGCGTACATGTCCACGAGAGTGCTTGAGATGAACACATCTTTGTGCATCTCCTGCTTGAGCAACTGAGAATGGATTTGCTTTCCCAAGCTCATCATGGCTAGATTGGCGCATGTGTCAAGAATTGTAGCATAGGTGAAATTATCAGGCTGCAGACCAAATTCCAACATTTGGCTGAAGAATTTCTGAGCTTCCTCGCTTCTTTTCTGCAAGGAAAATCCTGAGATTATGGTGTTCCATGATACCATTGTTTGGCTCTCTATCCTGCCATGGAGTATTTGTGCTTCCTCCAACATTCCACATTTGCAGTACATGTCAATGAGTGCACTTCCAACAAAGGAATCAGAACCAAGTCCCGACTTAATTATCCTGCCATGGATTGGAACTCCATAATCCAGCGACTGTTTCGCCGCACAAGCTTTAAGAATGCTGCCATAGGTGAAAACATCTGGCTCCAAACGGCAATGCAGCATTTGATTTAAGTGTGAAAATATCTCTCCGTAAATTCCATTCTGTTCAAGTGCTGTGATAATGGCATTCCAGGAGACCAAATCTCTCTGTTCCATCTCTTGAAAAACATTACAAGCACTCATCAAATCTCTGCACTTCCCATACATGTCCAACATCGCATTCATCACACAAACATTCAACACATGGCTGGTTTTGACAGCCAAGCAATGAACTTGCATGCCTTGCAAGCATGTTTTCGCTTCTGCACAGGCACTAAGAACAGCAGATAAGCTGATTTCATCGGCCAGAATGCATGAAATATTCATGAATTTGAACAAGTTCAGAGCTTCAATTCCTTCCTCGTTTCTAGCAAACCCAACAAGCATGGCATTACAAGTCTGCAGGCTACGGTCAGGAAGCTCCCAAAATATTCTCATGGCGTCGCCCAAACTGTCGCATTTAGAATACATATCAAGAGTAGCGGTCCCAACAACGACATCTGCCATGAAATTATTCTTCATTGCATGGCCGTGAAGCTGTTTTCCGATCTCTAGAGAAGGCAATCCTGCACAAGTTCGGAAGAGGCTTGCGTAGGATGACTGACTCACTCCTATTCCTTCTCTCTGCATCTCAAGAAACAGATCAAGCCCCACCATGAAACGCTCATTCTGAGCACAACCCGCAATAATGGCGCTCCAGGAGACCCAGTTCCTTCGTGGCATTTCACGGAAGAAGAAAAGGGAATCAGCCAAGCTTCCACATTTAGCATACATGTCAACAAGTGCGCTTCCTGCCACCACATCTAAAGCCAAAGCCTTTTTAACCGCAAGCCCATGAATTTGAGCTCCCATTTCATATTCATTCAAAGTAGAGATCAACTTCAGAACTAATGAAAAGGTTATATGATCTGGCTCCACGCCCATCTTCATCATCTCCAAGAAAAGTTCAACAGCCTCGTTCAAGTTTCCATTTTTCAGGCACCCTGAAATCATGGAGTTCCATGAGATAACATCACAGCCAGGCATAACTCTGAATAAATACCGCGCCTCACGCATCAAACCACTCTCTACGTAACCAGATATTATAGCGTTCCATGACACGACATCCCTGTCAGGCATTCCGTCGAACACTTTGCACGCAGAGTTCAAATCTATGCACCGAATGTACATTTGAAGAAGACAGTTTGCAACGAAGGTGGTCGGAATGAATCCATGTATAATCATTTGCGCGTGAGTTTGCCGTCCGGTTCTCAGATTCCGAAGCTCCGAGCAGTCCTGGAAGATGCGGGAAAAGCACATTTTAGCTGAAGTTGAAGCGCAGGGTTGGGAACTGGAGAAGGAAGAGAAGAAGAGTGGTATAGGATGAGATGCTGAAGTTGGTGTCGTTGGGAAGAAAAGCTTGTTTATGCCGACGAAGAAAGATGATATGGCAGATCTGGTAAGTGGTAAGAGAAGGCCACCAATCAACATTCCATTAGGTGTCTGCTTCTTCAAAAGATGGTTCGAATCGGTTCGCTCATTCTAGAGCTACTATTTGTGCGTGGAGATAGGCAGGTGCCCTCTATATTCTAGAGCTACTATTTGTGCGTGGAGATAGGCAGATGCCCTCTATTTTCTTTTGCTTGCGTGCGTGCGTGCGTGCGTGCGTGCTCAGTAGGGTGTGTGTGTGTGTGTGTTCAATAGGATTTGACCTTCATCTACTAGTTTTTTTATGCATTCATTCGGTTTCAAAGGGATTCTAACATTGATGGAGTTCTTTCTATGTGGTTTCGAGGTCTATCAAGAGATATATGAACACAAGTGACTTTTATACTGCTATGGTATATGTTTTTCTTACTTGTCTTTGGTTTGGAGTCTATCATGAGATATATGAACACAAGTGACTTTTATACTGCTATGGTTTTCAATATATATGAGTTTAGGATGAGAGTAAGCAAGTTCTTTCTTTTTTTTTGTCATATGACCTTAAGTGCTCTTTTGGAGGGTCTTTGTGTCAAAAGACTTCGTGATATATACGAGTTCGAGTATTAGTTGATTAAAGACAACCAATATACATTTATTTTTATGACTTTTACCACTACAATGAAATATTATTCATTAATTTATATTTAAGAACTCATTGATAACATTATTGTTGTCTTATTATTACACTTAATATTTATTTTTTTTTATAACTATGTCATTGCCATGAACTTTGTCATTGCCATATTAATAGAAGCTAGTTTTATGTGTTAAAGTTTAATTTGTGAGGAAATTTGAGTTCAAAGACTTTTACTGCCTCACAAAGCCTTTTACTGCCTCAAGAGTCATATGTTGTAACTTTGGATTACAATATTGATGATAACCCAACAATGAAAGAAAATTTTATCTGTGTGCGCGCGCGTGCGTGTGTGCGCGCGCGTGCGCGTGTTTGTGTTCAATAGGATTTGACCTTCCTCCACTAGTTTTTTTATGCATTCATTCGATTTCAAAGGGATTTTAACATTGATGGAGTTGTTTCTATGTGGTTTCGAGGTCTATCAAGAGATATATGAACACAAGTGACTTTTATACTGCTATGGTATATGTTTTTCTTACTTGTCTTTGGTTTGGAGTCTATCATGAGATATATGAACACAAGTGGCTTTTATACTGCTATGGTTTTCAATATATATGAGTTTAGAATGAGAGTAAGCAAGTTCTTTCTTTTTTTTTTGTCATATGACCTTAGGTGCTCTTTTGGAGGGTCTTTGTGTCGAAAGGCTTCGTGATATATACGAGTTTGAGTATTAGTTGGTTAAAGACAACCAATATACATTTATTTTTAGGACTTTTATCACTACAATGAAATATTATTCATTAATTTATATTTAAGAACTCATTTGATAACATTATTGTTGTATTATTATTACACTTAATATTTACTTTTTTTTTATAACTTTGTCATTGCCATATTAATAGAAGCTAGTTTTATGTGTTAAAGTTTAATTTGTGAGGAAATTTGAGTTCAAAGACTTTTACTGCCTCAAGAGTCATATGTTGTAACTTTGGATTACAATATTGTGTATTTACATCATGGTGATAACCCAACAATGAAAGAAAATTTTATAGGTGCCCCATAAATAGGTCAACGGAGGACTACGACTTTTTAGATAGGATGATAAATTCGAGGAGTCTACTTCAAGTAGTGACAATGCGTGGAGAATAGTTTAAGAAATAAATAACATTACTTACTAATATTATATAACTATTTATATAACAATATATTACATATATTATTTATATAATACTATATTATATATATTTATGTCTAAGTTTAAATCATAACACCTCATGTGGCAATGTGATTAGTGTCTTTTTTTGTATAGATTTGATCCAGGTT